GGACTGCGTTCGCGCTTTCCCCTGATCTTGCTGGTTCAAAGACAGAATAAGCTCTCTGCTTGTTTTCATCCAGGATTGTTAGCTAATTGATCCTTGTTTGGAATAGTTGCATCTCTGCTTTGTGTTGTCTCTTATGTCTTCATCACCCTGGAGGGGAATGCAGTTTCATTCCCTGCTGTGTCCTGTCTGTCACGGAGATAGCTGAAGAGTCAGAGCTGCTCTATGTTGATGTCAGAAGACGAATTCTTCGTGTTTATATATAGTCTTAGAGATACGGATTATTTTGGGCACCTACGGAGAACCTCCGTGATTCAAAGCATGAATGAGGCCTATTTTCAGCCCATGAGCTGTGGGGTCCTTTTGCTTGCTTTGCTGTCCTGAAATGGCAGGATTGAGCATGAGGTGAGAGGCTCTCTGAGTCAGGTGGAGAAGAGGTAGAGACCATGGGACGGGAACAGAAGGGCAGCCTTAGCCATCCCTGTGCTTAGCCATGGGCAACAGCACTCGCTAGCAAGGACAGCCAAGTCAGGCGGGCAGAATGGCACCCATAGCCCAGTTTTAACCCGGGTCTGAAAGTGGTGATGTCTAACCAGGAGGCTATTATTTTTAAAGCCTGTGGCTGCCCACGTACAAGCCCCATCTAGGAAGTAAGGACTGACTCCATTTTCCTCTGCTTACACATTCTTGCCCTTTGCATCCAGTTGCTTGTCCCGAAAGGGAATGGTGCGAGCGATGCGTACCTGTCTACACATGTCACTGATTTATGAATCAGTCTTGACTCAGGATTTCGGTTGTGTCAGCTGCTGGGTATATTCTTCCCTTCGGCTTGAATGACGGAAGTGTGTTCCCTCGTGCAGCCACTATTGTCCCAGCCCTGAAGAAAACAGCAGTTAACTGCCCAAACGACTGCGTTAAGGCCTGTAGGGATGAAATGCCTCTCCAACACCTTAGGACATGCCTCCCACTGGATTTTGACAAATATGAGTTTGCCTACAGGGGGAAACAGGTTGACAGACAGGCGACGCCACAGCTGCCGCCTTACCCTCTGTAGAGAGCCATCTGGAGAAACCCGGAAACTGTGTCAGGATGCTTTTCATGGGCCACAGCTCGGCCTTCAGTACCATCCTGCCGAGCATCCTTATCGAAAAGCTGACTGACTTGGATTTTCCCTCTTCCACCTGCGACTGGATCAAAGACTTTCTGAGGGACCGGCCACAAACCGTGAGGGCTTGGCCCGTCACCTCCATCTCCCTGAAGCTTAGCCCTGGCTCCCCACAGGGCTGCGTGCTCAGTCCCTACCTGTACTCACTGTACGTACATGACTGTGTATCGTCTGACCCATCCACTGTGATCATTAAGTTCGCAGATGATACCGCCATATTGGGTCTCATTACAGGTGGAGACGAAACAGGGGAGGGGGGGGAGGTTCAGAAATTATCCTCATGGTGCCTAGAAAACAACCTGCAATTGAACATCAGCAAGACAAAGGAGAGGGAGTTAGACTTCTGGGCAAAGAGAGAGGAACCCGCCCCACTTGAAATTGAGGGAGGCTGCGTGGAGAGAGTGGCCACCTTTGCATTCCTGGGAGGCTGCTACTCAAGCGAAGATCTCACCTGGAAAACCAACGCAACCCAGGTGGCCAGAAGGGCCCAACAGGGACTCCGCTTCCTCAGGGCCTTGCGGAAGAACCAAGTGGAACCACGACGGATGGCCTCCTTCTACCCGTCCTCCCACGTTGCATGACGGTGTGGGAAGCTGGCTTGACAGCCGCGGACAGAAAGACACCACAGAGGGTGGTGAGCACAGCCCAAAACATGACATGCAGTGTACCGGGCGAGGGATTCCCCCCTTTTTGCCTCCACTGTGAGTTGTGTTGGGTGTGTGTGTGCGCGCACGAAGGGAGGCTCAGCCAACCTCATGACAATACGCTGACAATAAAGGTTGATTTGATCCGATTTGAGGTCCTCCTTCCCTGGGCGCGTAATTTGGGGCCGCCCGTTTCTTGGAACCTCTGCAGCCTGTTTGCAGGAGGGGGCGGAGGGGCTGTGGAAAGGCAGAGAAGGGGGTCCGTGGGGGTCAGGCCGGGAGGGACCCCAAGGCCTCCGAGCTATTGAAAAGGGGGGGAAGGCAGGGGATGATGGGAGCTGCACCTGACCACCTGACGGGCGGGGCTTGGCTGACGGGGGATCCAGCCCTCTACACGGCCAGCATGGACCAGCAGCCCCCCCCAGTTACGGCCACCGTCGAGCCCTGCCTTTCTGCTGTTCAGCGAGACCTAGGGGAAGTGACTCCTCCCCCCCCCCGGTTTACGACGGCTCTTAAATGAATCCCTGCAGCTGAGGAGTTAGGAACCCGGTTGCTGGGGTTCCGGGCTGAGCCGCTCAGCGGGGGGGGGGGGGGGTGGGGGGGGGGGGGGGGGGGGCCTTCTAAGGGCTCCCCTCTTCACAACAGCCCTGCGGGGCAGGCCGGGTGGGGCAGCCCTGCCTTGGCTACCCTCCAGCCCCCCCCGCGGAAATGGCCCCGACGGTTTTTCAGGGGATCGGAAGCTGCGGTTGGGGGGGGGGCAGGGGGGGGGCGCTGAGGCCGCCTCCCCAATGACTGGCACGTTCCCATGGCCGAGCCTTGTTGGAAAAGAGACAAACAGCGCTCAAAGCCTCGCTTTCGCCCCCCAGCCCCCCTGAGCGGAGACTGGAGCCAGCAGCCTTTGGGAAGAGACCCCTGGAGGGAGGCGGCCTGTCTTCCCCACTCCAGTCCTCCTGGGGCAGTGGGACGTTGGCCTTGGGCCCCTCCTGAGGACCTGACGGAGAAGGAAGCGGACGACGGGACCGATAGCCCCCTCCTCATTCCTGGGCAGGAGGGCAGGTGGGTAAGGACGACCCTCGTCCAGGGCCAGAAGCCCCGGGCTGGATTCCAGGCCCCGCCACAATGGGCAGCGGGAGCACAGAAGGGGCAGGAAAGAGCGGCCGGTCAGTGTGGACCGTTGACTTCTGGCCCGTGTGGGAGGCAGAGATTGGCAGGCAGCACTGAGGCCTCCCATTGCCACCAGGCCTTTGCACCGCCCTCCGGTTCAGCGGGTTTCCGTGCTGTCCGAAGGGCCCTGGAGAGGTAATGCCAGGCCCTCGGAGCCAGGAAGGAGGCGGGGAAGTTGCTGGTGAAGGAGAGAATCTCTCGAGTAGGAGCAGAATGAGTAAGCCTGCTAGCGAAACATCAAGAGAAAAAAGTCCTTTTTTTAAAAAAAATAGGTTCCCGGAACAGCAGTGGAGATGGCTGCAGTGGCAGAACAGGAAAGTGAAACTCAATTGTGCAACAATTGGTAAGGGCCAGCAATGTGAACGTTTTTGTCCTCTGCTAGTCTGCGTGTCTGTGTGTGTGTGTGTGTGTGTGTACGCGTATGCCCAGCCACTCAAACCTGTGCTTTTTCAGATAGCAGAAGGGAGTTGGGTTTAAGAAAAGGGTGACTAGAGTTTCTGTTTGTCCCAATACCCTTAAAAAGAGAGAGAGAGAGAGAGGAGTTTGGCCTAGCAACGTGCCCTGTGCCTCTTGCAGTCAAAAAGAGATTCCTCTGGCAAACTTTACCATCCACGAGATTCACTGCAGCCGGAACATCGGGGTCTGTCCCCTCTGCAAGGAGTCCTTCCCCAAGGCAGAAATGAGGACTCACCAGGAACAAGAGCATGCACAGGTGACCACACCAGGTTGCTTCCCCCTCCTCCACGACGTCCTCGGGTCTCCTCTGGACGAGACAGGCGTCATTCTGCGAGCTTGGCTCTGATCTGCATTTCTTTCGATCCCTAGATTGTCT